CGCCCTTTAGTAAGGCCATCTTCCCCGAAGTATGCGGGGGCCTTGTTTCTGGGTTCCAGACCACACAGTTTAAAAAGGAAAGACGCCCAAAACAAAGGCAAGCGAAGGGCGTATTTTAGGTTCTTCTTTGGATGAAGTGACCACGTGGCTGACTTTTAGGAAGCTAGCATCGTCCTTGGATCACGTGCGCAAAAAGCAACTCAGTTCCACATCCTTCATGTTACAACTCTTTCCACGTCCCCCTTCATTAGCGGAACAAACCATTTTGAGCCACGTGATGGCCGGCCTTTTTTCAATATTGCTCCCTGCAATCTTGATTCTGACAAATACTGCAATCAACAGTCTTGCTGAAAAGGGGACATAGTTCCAAACGGTTGCCTCACCTTTTTTCCATATGGAGGGACAATAGGTCTGAGACAATTTGGTGCTCAAATCATAGGTGTGGCACATGTGTTCCCTGCAGGAGCTTGGTGAACATGTTCCTGATTCGGTTCAGCGGCTAGCTGCTTGCGGGGCTGCTGGCGTGTGTGCTAACAACATGCGTCGGGATGTGATGCGTCAAGAAGCCCGTCGAGCAGGGGCCCGTGGCCAGGTGCGTACTTAAAAATGGGGGGGTGGGAACGCCTTTGACCGTGGTTTTCAGATAATTGCCTTTAGTCCACCCAACAAAAACCACCAGTGCCACGCGCAAAGGGTTGCAAGTTACACACCGCCCACAGTAGTCGCAAGGTTCCTGTGCACATGGTGCCCACCGTCATGAAGGATCCGGATGACCCGCGCAAGACAGTGACCGCGCGTCTTGAATGCAACATTGCAACCGGTTGCAGCGACTGTGAGTTCTTTCAACCCACCAATCGAATTTGCGGCCTTCACTCGTCGTAGTCTTGCTTGCAGGTGCGTGCCGCTGTGCCCGCCGTACGAGCTTGTCCAATGGCTGCTGCAGCATAGGCTGGTCGAACTTGACCAGATGGATGCTGCAGCTCACTGGGAGCACGCAAAGAAGCACATGCCTTGGGCTGTTAGCAGCAGTGCGCAGGGGGCATCATGCTACCCGTTGGGGCTGTACGGGGATGAGGCCAGGTACACGGACACAAATGAGCAGATCTTCGCATGCTTTATTAGCTCCTCGTCAGCCCATTAAGTTTCCTTCGCGCGTGCGTGAGTTTTGTCTACAACCAGGCATGTGTCCCTTGCGCTTTTTTTTCACAGGTTTCCCTCTCTGGGATTCGTCGGTGAGATCAGTGTGGCGCACCCGATTCCCGCTTTTTGCGATGCGGGCTGACGACTCCTTGGGCATGCAGACGTTGGCACCTTTGTGGCGGGAAGTCACGGCGGGGCTGACAAAGCTTCGCGAGACCGGCGTCAAGGGGAACACCTTCAGCTTGTTCGAGCTGCGCGGCGATTGGAAGCATCATTGGCAAACCTTTGGGCTTCGAGATCACTGGCGCTGCAACCTGGTTTGCCATCGCTGCTCTGCGTCGAAGACGGACGTCGATAATCGCTACTGGCATTTCGTTGCCCAGCCGTGCTGGCTGCAGACAGAGAAAACCCTGCTGCAGTTTTTCAACCAGCAAGTTGACGTGGCGAGCCCCTTCGCGTGCAGTCTCCTTGCCACGCCCGGATTTCATCATCGGCAAATACGTTGGTGTTCTATGCATTGCGTAAATCTCGGAGTCGCGTTGGATGCTAATGGCAGTGCCCTGAAGACCCTCATTGATGCCAACTTCTATGGCGAGGGCACACTCAGCGATGTCTTCTGTGCCGCTTGGCGATCCTTCAAGCGTTGGAAGCAGCAGCACCGCCTTAGCTGCAGCCAACCTGCCTTCAAGCCCTGGATGCTGATCACGACGGCGGACGACTTCTGTTTGCTTAAAACCAAGGCATGACGTTTAAACAATGCTCGCGCGCGTGTGCGGAACCGTGCGACGAGAAACGCGTGCGACGAAACGCTTGCGCCGCCCTGCAGGCATACAACAGCCGCGTGATCACCAGTTTCTTGGCATCTGAGTTGGCCCGCTTTCTCAGCAGCGCAACCCCTGAGCAGCGGAGAGACCCCATGCTGAACCTGACCTGCAAGTGCCTGTGGAGCCTGCATGCTTTCTATGGCTCTGTGGAGGCAGCAGGCCGGTACTTGACGCAGCAGGCGTGGTACGAAATTTGGCAAGGGCTTTGCCGTGCTAACCCCAGCCCCCAGCTTTGGATCCCTATAGCTAGGAACATTTTCGCGCCCTCGAAAGTTTGGGTGCGCAGTGCCTCAACTCCAAACCGACCCAACACCGTGATGCCAGGGCCAGCCCCAAACCCGGAAAGCCAAAAAACACAAGGCCCCCAGTAAACCTGTGGACCACTGAGGAAATGTTAACTACAGATTGTCTTGCCCGATCAGAGGAAGCGTATGTTCCTTATCTGAGTTTTCTAGATGCAGCAAGGCATCAAGCCTTGCGCCACGCCAGGAGGCCCAGGTCTGCAGCGACCACGGCCTCGCCTTCTTGCAGTGCTATGCAGCGCTGGCCAACGCAGCGTGCTCCCGCAATATGCCACTTGGCATTGCGCAGGGGCTGAAAGCTGTGGCAGTGTTTGTTGATGTATGTTGATGTGCTAAAGTTCAAACACTTTTTCGTGGACCTCAATTGTTCACAGGGAAGCAGGCAGCTCAACCATGCAACAGTGTTTGTTTTCTGGTGAGTGTCTTTGCAAACTGCCACTCTATTTGTGTGGTTTGTCAGTTTGACGCATGCCGTACCTGTGCCACATCCCACACCCTACGCTAGGATGATGTGGCAGCTTCGTCCAAAGCACCATGCTATGCACCACCTACTGTTGGATATGGTTGCGGAGCGCATCGCGGCGGCGTTTCTGTAGTTTTGTTTTCATCTAGCCCCCGTTCTAGCAATGAACACAAACTGCTGTGTTGTGAAGTTTCGAAGTTCTGCTGAGCTACCTAGGATACAACTGCAGGGCATTTCACGCCTTCCGCGATGAATCTGCTATGCAATATGTTAAACGCCGTTTGGCTCAAATATTCGCTTTGAAAAAACATTGTGACCGGCTCACGCGACACAAGTATCAACCAAGGTATTGCCCGCTCCTGTCAGAAATCCACCCTGGAGACAGTGTTCATGCAGAAATGGTATTGCCGCTTGTCCAACCGCAGCCAGTGAATTGGCGCCCGCGCGCCGTGAATTCGGAGTTACCAACCCATGTGTGTTGACCAGGGTGATGCCGTGATAAGTTAAAATCAGCATATTTACGAATTAGGTTGATGAGAATGTTGAGTCTCGCTTGAAACGAAACCCCCTTGGTTACGTACAAGAAGGAAGCACATCCTTATAATTAGGTTCGGTGTCACTTTTGCGTCGTCGCACTTGGAAGTTGGAAGGTTTGCAGGGCCTTCAGCCCACACGATTATATGGAAAGAACCAAGCAAGGCGCAATTCCGGGAAAAACCAATGACGGAGTTGTGACATATGTTTTCGACCTATTTCGTAGCTTGAGGGAGTGGAGTGTCTTGCACCTGCTTTGTGAGTTTGACGGGTTGCCGCAAGTATGCCACCTGGCGCAATTTCCCCAAGGTTTAGAAATGTCACAACTCGCCAAGTTGCCATGTGTTTCGGCCTAAGGGATTGGAACGCAGTGTCATGCATAATTCGATACTTGCAACACTTGACCTCGGCAGGAAAAAACGGCGGCTCCGGCAGCCAATGACCCTCGCCCCTACCCAGGTTTGTACGAGAACACAGACCCACACATGTTGAATCCTTTTTGGCCTGTGACAAACAATTTTCTGCAGCGCTTCAAAAGGGATGACCTTTAGAGACTTTGGGCAAGCGCCTGCATCCTGCAAATAAAAGTGCCATATGGGAAGTCTGCCGTTTAAGCGTTTGAAGCCCCAAACAGTTTGTTGCCCAACCATGTTACCACCGAACCACAAATACATGTAGCAGGATTCCTGGCCCAGGCCCAGGACTAGCCCATGACCGGTCAAAACTCACGCATGTGTGTGTCTTCAGTGTCGTTTGTTTGTTTGTTTGTTTGTTTGGCTTGCTTGCTTGCTTGCTTGCTGGCTTGCCTGGCCTTGCCTTGCCTTGCCTTGCCTTGCCTTGCCTTGCCTTGCCTTGCCTTGCCTTGCCTTGCCTTGCCTGCTTGCTTGCTTGCTTGCTTTGCTTGCTTTGCTTTGTTTCTTGCTTCACTTGCTTGCTGGCTTGCTGGCTTGCTTGCTTGATTGCTTCTGCTTGTTTCTAAGCTTGCTTGATTTGGGTGTTCTGGTTTGTTGCTTGCTTAATCCCTTCCGATTGCTTGTTTGTTTAAGTTGTACGCTTGTTTGCTTGTCCGCTGGCTTGCCTGTTTGTTCGGTCTGCTTGTTTGTTCGGTTTGTCTGTTTCTTGCCCACCTGACTCGTTTGGGATTTAATAATTTAAGTGACGTCCGACCGCCGCAGCCAGCCCCGTGACAAACAGCTGCGACAAAGCCTGACAGACAGATGTGATCCGACCGCCTCACCGACAGAGCAGACAGCCGGGACAAAGTTTCACAGACAGCTGTGATCCGACCGCCGCAGCCAGCCCGCCAGCTGACAGAGCAGATAGCCGCAACAAAGTTTGACCGACAGCTGTGATCCGACCGCCACAGCCAGCCCGCCAGCCGACAGAGCAGACAGCCGCGACAAAGCCTGACAGACAGATGTGATCCGACCGCCGCAGCCAGCCCGCCAGCCGACGGAGCAGACAGCTGCGACAGCCCTGACAGACACATGTGACGGACAGCTATGACCGTATCATTTTCGCAGTGCTTGCGCGTGTGGCCACGCTGCCCCTACGTATCGGGGACCACTTGGCTCAGGACAGCCACGTTTTCAAGCAAGCAGGGTTGAAGTGTGAACATGGCACTCTTGCAGCTTACAAGACCTCAAAATATGAGGTCTCGTGTCCAAGACCCCATTCCTGGGTGGATCCGACCGAGGCCTTGTATATTTAGGTCTCGGAGCCCTAGGGTTGGCTATAATGCCGCGGGCCTCGTACTGTGAGAGGGCCACTTTGCCCTCTACGCAGTCCTCCGCGGTCTTCTTCGCATGTGCCTAAGTTTGACACTGCAAATCTGTCACTCGCGTTTTAAAACCCTGAAGGGCCCTGACAAAACCAGCCGGCGCGTCCGACTCGGGCAAGGGCGGTTTCGCCCGAGTTGCCCGGGGGCCGCGCACTCGCTCGTCTTCCCCGTCTGACGCCTAAGCGCGCGCGGCAAGCGAAGACGCGCGCTTTGTTAGCTTTACTGCGAGACTAGTCTAAGACTACGGCATAGGCAGTGTTCATCTCAAGCACTTCCTCGCCATTGACCGAGGAAAAGCTGAAAGTTCTCTTCGCCTGCGCGCGTGCTTGCCGCGTTCGCGCCCTATGCAAAAGGACAACCGCCTCATCCGGGTGACAGTGGGTGAGGTCGTAGGTGGCACACACGTCATTCACGAAAACATAATACAAAATCTTAAAATAAAGAAAATCCCAAAATATCAAAATTAAAAAATCAAACACACCAAAAATCAAACCCATAACAATCAAAAAATAAAAAAACAAATAAAAAAATTGAAATTATAAAAAATATAAAAAGGCCCATAAATCTCACCACACAACTCAATCACATAAATATACACACACGCACCACACAATCTAAGATAAACCCAAATCAGCCAGACATTTTTACGGCAGTCCTAGGGCCCGAGCCGGGCCTCTATATCCGGTCACTCGCAAACCAAGGTCTGGTTCCTGGACGGCGGCAGGCCCAAGCCCGTGCTGAGGATCTCCCGAACTCAGATCCCGCTAGTGCCGGCCTACGCCATCACTGTTCACGGGAGTCAGGGTAAGACCTTGCCGGCGGCCATGGCCGACTTCAACGTGGACAGGTGGACGGACATCACCTTCGGAACCGTGGCCGGCAGCCGCGTGAGGCTTTTTTTTTTTTTTAGGGAGCGGAGTAAAAACTTTTGCGCGCTCGGCGGTCGACTCAGATTCGTCGCGTCTGTTGCTCGCAGGAGCCGTGAAGATATCCACATTTTGCGGCCGTTCCCGCTCTGGCTCTTCCAGCGGGGTGCGCCAGAGGGGCCAGAGTTGCTGCTGAAGACTCTCCGAGGTGAAAAGATTGATTGGGTCAACTACCGCGAGGCCCGCGCGCCCAGCGCGCCGTGCCAACAATGCAAAGAGGTTAAGCCTTTCGACTACTTCGCGGACGCCCAGTGGGACAAAGCCAGAGCCAACCTGCCTGCCACTTGTCTGACTTGCATTCATAAGGATGGAGGCGCCAGCAAGCGCAAACTGCCTTCCAATGTTGAGCGGCTGCGCTGCATTGGCTGCGGCTTCGAGAAAGTGGAGCACGCGTTTCCCCGAGCTCAACTTCGGCAGCCTCGTGCAGAAGAAAGGCGAAATTGCATCGCGTGTTTGAAGAACGTCTCGGAGTTGACTTGCTCGCAATGCAGGTGAAGCCGCTGAAGGAGTTCCACCTATCTGCGTTGACGCTGCCGTGGGCGGCCGCGTGTCAAAGTTGCCAGGACGCGGTGCGCGGCAAGGCTCGTCGGCTCCGGGCCGGATGGGAGAAGTGCCGAGGCTGCGCGGCTTTTCTGCCCACGTCTTCTGCCGTCTACATCAACAAACGCTGCCCCAACTGCGCGGCAGATCGCAAACGGGGCAAACGTACTTGTCTCAGATGCAAGAGGAAATGGAGCGAGAATTCGGCGGAAGAACAGATCCGCAAACGATTCTGCCCGAATTGCCGCTAGGGTAGATCTTGGAGAGCGATTTTAAATGAAGGCGGCAAAAAGCAAATGCGCGATGGGGTCTTGCCTTGTTGGCGCGCGGCGCAGCAATTTGAATGCGACATTCCCAGCATTGCGCGGCTCTTTGACCTGCTAGCTCATCAGCTTCAAAATGCGTGGGGCCGCGGTGGGCCCGCGCTATGTTTTCGAGATGTCGCCAAGGCGCGGGGAGCGCGCTAGCGTTGCGATGACGCTCTTGTCCTGACGGGCCGAGGCCTTTAGAGCAGTCCGCTTTGCCGAGGCGGGGGACATGATTCACGCTTCGCTCGCGTGTTTGTTGTCTTGCAGTCGCGGGGCTCAGGTCTAGTCGGAGACGCGCGCGCGAGGCCGCCGCGGCGCAAGAGCGCGGAGTGCTCCGAGTTGCCTGGCGCGAGGCGCGAGTCGCGTGATGTGAAGCTTCTAGAACTAACTGGGCACGATATTCGAACCTAACATTGTGAGCTCAGGTCTCGGTTTGAGTTGTCGAGAGTGACTACGTCTCGGAATTTTGCTGATTTTCGGCTACGCGTTTGCATAAGCCTTTGCCTGAGCAATTATCTCAATCCAACTTGAGCCATTTTTTGCTTGCGTTTAAAGGCCTCGCTAAGTCGCGTCGAGTCCTTTGGTCAACGAAAATGACTATTTTGGTCGTTTCTCTTAGCCTTTTCATATCCGCGCTCCGAGCATGTTTTGTTCGGTCTACATTCGCTCAGGTTGGTTTATCTGAAGCTAAAATGTTAATCTAAATTATCGCGAAGTCGATCGAGCTCATCTTTTTGATGTTCGAGCTTGTCTTTCGCGTTCGTTAGGCGAGCATGATCTTGTTCGATCTCCCTTTTAAACGCTCGAGTTGTTCAACTTGGTTGATCTGATCAAGTTCAATTTCAATCTTGCCTAGATCAAGCTTGAAGTGGTTCATAACTCTTGCTCGTTTGGTCGAGCATCTTAGTCGAGTTATGTCTTTTCGCTCACGCTCAGAACGTTTTGTCGAACTGCGTTCGACCTGTTAGAACGTCGTGCTCGGTCTCTCACTCGACGTGCTTACTCAATCAAGTTTAGGGGTGATTTAGCTCGACCTTTTCGGATTACAGTGCAGGGATTCCCCTATATAGAAAAACTTTCGAAGCTTTGAGGTCTCCGCTACTCGCTCTCGACATTTGCCTAGGGCGCCACCACACTGTGTTGGCGGACCCTAAACCCTAAACCCTAAACCCTAAACCCTAAACTTTTAGTGGCTGCCGCCATATGCGCCAACACAGGTGTAAGGTTGTGCGTCGATCTTAGTGTTGACAGACCGGTCAAGCGACATGAGATCGATGCTCAATTAAGCCGTCGATCGAGATATGTGAGTTACAAAGTTTAAGCTTGCCTCAATTTAGACTAGACCAACGTTTCAAGCTCGAGATGATAGATTTAAACTGTCCATTGAATCGGGCGAGACTGAGGCTTAAACTTTTCATTGATGGAGCATCGAACGTTCTAAACGCTTAAACTGACCTCGCCCCAAATTGATCAACGCCGCAAACTCGAGGTCGGAAACGTCGTCGTCTTGGCCTCCAGCGAGCTATGCGCTGCCCCGTGCTTGACCCGGCCGCTGATAAATTCTTTGCGCGGGATCATATAGAACTAGCCAGCACTGCTCTAAATCTAGAGATCTGGCCATTTGGCTGCCCTCCAAGGCTCAGCTCTGTCCCGGGAAGGTGATTCTGTTTTCTTTTTAAAAAAATCAGGATTTGGGCTTGGCCCGGTCGCTGATAAATTCTTTGTGTGGGATCAAGTAAAACTAGCCAGCTCTGCTCCAAATCTAGAGATCTGGCCATTTGGCTGCCTTCCAAGGCTTAGCTCTGTCCCGGGAAGGCGATCCTGTCCTGTGAGAGGGGCCAGGCCTGTTTGACGATCCTCAGGCCCAGCCTAAACAGAAGACCCACCCAAGCAAGGCCCAGCCCAGCCCAGCCCAGGCAGGGGTTGTCAACCAGTTGGCCAAAAAAAATCCACCCTCGCCTATGCCTGTTGGTCCAGGATCCTGTCTGGAGGGCCTGGAAAAGTCCTGGAAAGGCCCAAGAGGGCCTGGAAATTCTCAAGCCTCCAGCTGCAAATGCGCTGAAAATCGCGAAGCCGAAGAAAAGCTTTTGTCACGAAAAGCATGACCTCCCGCTGGCCAGGCCGCCCGCTCCACGACTAGCGCCAGGACTTCTTGTTGCTTGGCGTTCAGGTTGGGCCGCTTGGCTTCCAGCCACCCGAGCTGGCCTGCCTTTGTCACAAGCGGGCGGACCGCGCTCACTCCCGGGCCCTCCTTGTGCATTGGCGCCTCCCTTGCTGGCTTTCTCCCCCTTGGCACGGGAGGCCTTGGCCGCCTCCTCTAGCTCGTCGTGGTCTTCCACGGCCGGCTTGGCCGCCATGTCGGCGTAGTGTTGGGCGAAGTTCGGGTCGCCCTCCCAGAACGCGGCCGACCCGCCCCAGACTTCTTTGGACAGCTGGGACATCTGTTCCGCGCGGGCGATTCGCTGCGCCTTGGCGGTCGCGTCCTCTGGCGTCTCTGCCTCGGCCTCTTCTTCCTCTTCTTCCCCAGCTTCGCCTGGCTGCGCGGCGCCTTTGATGCGCGTGGCTTGCGCCGCCATGAGGTCTTCTTCCTCGAGCTCCTTTCGTTTCGTCTTCGAACGCGTTCACCGCTGTTTTAACCGCGGCTTTCCGCTCTATCTTTCGTTTCCTTTTTGGTTTCTCTTTTCTTCTTGAGCTTCTCTTTTCTTCTTGATTTCCCTTTTTTCTCTGACTGTGCGCAAGCAGCGTGTGTGTAGCCGCGATTGCGCGCGCGCAGTCGCAACCAACGCTCAAGACGCCACTAAGTCTGTAAACACGTCAAAGAAACGGCAGCAGCAAACCCCTGAGCGACAACTGTTCGCGGCATCCAGATAATGTCAGCAACATTCTCACACAGTAAAATTGAGGCGGCGCAGTAAAAAAGGAAAACACTTTCTGCCGAATCCTCGAAATGTCTAATGTTGGATTCTCCAAGCCTCATAATTTGGAGCCTGGAGTCCAACATATCCAAGTACACATTCCTTTCCAAATACGATTTTGATCCGAATTGAATTTGCGTATTAAATAGAATTTAGTAAGCACATAGTTCACCACCATTCATAATTCGCCATAATGTCTATATCAGATCAGAATTTGAGCAGGAATACCTCTCCAAATAAGGAAAATATCATTGCGGTAGAATCCAAATATACTTTAATGCAGACAAATTCAGTTAGCTTTTGAACATAATAATTTAATCAAGAATCCATCCCCAAATACAACTTGAATTGGAATATAGCTTATTCTGCAAATAAATCACTTGGCCTTTGCAAACAAATTTTAATAGTAACTCATTCCCAAATATGATTTAGCTTAAATGTGGCTAAACAAATAAAGGGCACATATCCCCAGACTCCCAAACTTGGTCTGGAGATGTTTGGCATGTGCAGGTCTCAGAGCTTTCATTTTCAGGAGATTTTATGCTTTTGGGTCTGTGCAGGTTACAGAGCTCAACGCTGCCAAAACGACATGTTTTCAATGTTTTTTCCCTAGCGTGCTCAAAACCGCTGTAAAAACCAGTGTTTTCCAACAAAGCCAGAATTGAATCCGAAAACGGAATCCGTTTTCGCTTTGCTGCCTTTCAAGCCTCAAAGAACCAGACATCTGCTGTCATATAGAACCTAAAAACCAACAAAAACACTGTATTTTACAGTGTTTTCAGGCATTTGCAAGAAAGGGGCACACGTAGCAGAGTTGGCACCTTCAACTAGAAGAAGGCAAAGGTAGGCCTTGGGGGGGGGGGGGGTGACCATATATATATATATATATATACATTTGTTAATTTATATTTTATATATATATATACACACGCACACGCGCGTCGTTCTCTTTTTTTTGCGCGCGATCGACGCGTGTCTAAGTCAATCACACAAACGCGCGCGCAACTATGCACTCATATCTCAAAAATCTCAAACATACAAAAACAATTAGGACGCGTCGCGTATTACATAGCGGGCCGCGCGCGTAAATGTCGCGACGGATATCCGGAGACGAGGTTCAAATCGCACCCCGACCGCGCGACAAGGCGCTGACGAAAGCGAGGCTTAATGGCCGCCTCCACAATATTCGATCTATAACCGAGCCATTTCCGAAAACCCGTTGCGAAGGTCTTGAACTAGCAAGCGCGTCGCGATTCGCCACGCGTTGAGGCGTTTGCCTATACGTGATAACTACGAAAACGGATCGTCGCGATCGCGTCGTTTTTTAGTCATATTTATTTTCAAAAGATTGCAACTCGTTTAATTATTGATATAGTTATTTTTTATTTTCTCGCTGAACTGCGCTGTGACACTTCACGCGTGTCGCGCCCTTGGACGAACCTGTAAGCGCGTCCGCCAAAGGGCGCGTCCGCGTCTGTATTGCGATTCGTTTGAAACACGCCAGCTGAACAAACGCGCAAGAGGTTAGATCATTGTTAGTCTAAAAAAGGCCCAACACGCAGCAAACTGTTGCAATTATGGCGCGTTTCAAACTAGCCGCGGCTGCTGCGTGCCTCTTCCGACTTCGGAGGAGCCTTCAGCACGCCCACTTTGACTCGAAGCTTTCGCTTCAAGTCCTTCTCCAGCCATTTTTTGTATTTGGCTATAATGCCGCGGGCCTCGTACTGTGAGAGGGCCACTTTGCCCTCTACGCAGTCCTCCGCGGTCTTCTTCGCATGTGCCTAAGTTTGACACTGCAAATCTGTCACTCGCGTTTTAAAACCCTGAAGGGCCCTGACAAAACCAGCCGGCGCGTCCGACTCGGGCAAGGGCGGTTTCGCCCGAGTTGCCCGGGGGCCGCGCGCTCGCTCGTCTTCCCCGTCTGACGCCTAAGCGCGCGCGGCAAGCGAAGACGCGCGCTTTGTTAGCTTTACTGCGAGACTAGTCTAAGACTACGGCATAGGCAGTGTTCATCTCAAGCACTTCCTCGCCGTTGACCGAGGAAAAGCTGAAAGTTCCTGCGCGCGTGCTTGCCGCGTTCGCGCCCTATGCAAAAGGACAACCGCCTCATCCGGGTGACAGTGGGTGAGGTCGTAGGTGGCACACACGTTCATAGCCAGACATTTACGGCAGTCCTAGTGCCCGAGCCGGGCCTCTATCCGGTCACGCGGCAAACCAAGGTCTGGTTCCTGGACGGCGGCAGGCCCAAGCCCGTGCTGAGGATCTCCCGAACTCAGATCCCGCTAGCGCCGGCCTACGCCATCACTGCCCACGGGAGTCAGGGTAAGACCTTGCCGGCGGCCATGGCCGACTTCAACGTGGACAGGTGGACGGACATCACCTTCGGAACCGTGGCCGGCAGCCGCGTGAGGCCTTTTTTTTTTTTTTAGGGAGTAAAAGCTTTTGCGCGCTCGGCGGTCGACTCAGATTCGTCGCGTCTGTTGCTCGCAGGAGCCGTGAAGATATCCTCATTTTGCGGCCGTTCCCGCTCTGGCTCTTCCAGCGGGGTGCGCCAGAGGGGCAGAGTTGCTGCTGAAGACGTCACCGAGTGAAAAGATTGATTGGATCAACTACCGCGAGCCCGCGAGGGCCCGCGCGCCCGAAACATGAGTTCAAACAATGCAAATGGTTAAGCCTTTCGAACTACTTCGCAGATGCCCAGATGGGAACAAAGGCCACTGGGCACACTGCCTCCCACTTGTCGACTTGCATTCAATATAAGGATGGAGAGGCGCCTGCAAGCCGCAAACTGCCTTCCAATGTTGAGCGGCTGCGCTGCATTTGCTGCGGCTTCGAGAAAGTGGAGCACGCGTTTCCCCGAGCTCAACTTCGGCAGCCTCGTGCAGAAGTAAGGCGAAATTGCATCGCGTGTTTGAAGAACGTCTCGGAGTTGACTTGCTCGCAATGCGCAGAGGTGAAGCCGCTGAAGGAGTTCCACCTATCTGCGTTTGACGCGGCCGTGGACGCCGCTGTCAAAGTTGCCAGACGCGTGGCGCGGCAAGGCTCCTCGGACTCCGGGCCGGATGGGAGAAATTTTGGAGGCTGCGCGGCTTTTCTGCCCACGTCTTCTGCCGTCTACATCAACCAACGCTGCCCCAACTGCGCGGCAGATCGCAAACGGGGCGAACGTACTTGTCTCAGATGCAAGAGGAAATGGAGCGAGAATTCGGCGGAAGAACAGATCCGCAAACGATTCTGCCCGAATTGCCGCTAGGGTAGATCTTGGAGAGCGATTTTAAATGAAGGCGGCAAAAAGCAAATGCGCGATTGGGTCTTGCCTTGTTGGCGCGCGGCGCAGCAATTTGAATGCGACATTCCCAGCGTTGCGCGGCTCTTTGACCTGCTAGCTCATCAGCTTCAAAATGCGTGGGGCCGCGTTGGGCCCGCGCTATGTTTTCGAGATGTCGCCAAGGCGCGGGGAGCGCGCTAGCGTTGCGATGACGCTCTTGTCCTGACGGGCCGAGGCCTTTAGAGCAGTCCGCTTTGCCGAGGCGGGGGACATGATTCACGCTTCGCTCGCGTGTTTGTTGTCTTGCAGTCGCGGGACTCAGGTCTAGTCGGAGACGCGCGCGCGAGGCCGCCGCGGCGCAAGAGCGCGGAGTGCTCCGAGTTGCCTGGCGCGAGGCGCGAGTCGCGTGATGTTCGATAGTTCTGGGGCTTAGGTCTTCCCCATTTCCGTGAAGCTTCTAGAACTAACTGGGCACGATATTCGAACCTAACATTGTGAGCTCAGGTCTCGGTTTGAGTTGTCGAGAGTGACTACGTCTCGGAATTTTGCTGATTTTCGGCTACGCGTTTGCATAAGCCTTTGCCTGAGCAATTATCTCAATCCAGCTTGAGCCATTTTTTGCTTGCGTTTAAAGGCCTCGCTAAGTCGCGTCAAGTCCTTTGGTCAACGAAAATGACTATTTTGGTCGTTTCTCTTAGCCTTTTCATATCCGCGCTCCGAGCATGTTTTGTTCGGTCTACATTCGCTCAGGTTGGTTTATCTGAAGCTAAAATGTTAATCTAAATTATCGCGAAGTCGATCGAGCTCATCTTTTTGATGTTCGAGCTTGTCTTTCGCGTTCGTTAGGCGAGCATGATCTTGTTCGATCTCCCTTTTAAACGCTCGAGTTGTTCAACTTGGTTGATCTGATCGAGTTCAATTTCAATCTTGCCTAGATCAAGCTTGAAGTGGTTCATAACTCTTGCTCGTTTGGTCGAGCATCTTAGTCGAGTTATGTCTTTTCGCTCACGCTCAGAACGTTTTGTCGAACTGCGTTCGACCTGTTTAGAACGTCGTGCTCGGTCTCTCACTCGACGTGCTTACTCAATCAAGTTTAGGGGTGATTTAGCTCGACCTTTTCGGATTACAGTGCAGGGATTCCCCTATATAGAAAAACTTTCGAAGCTTTGAGGTCTCCGCTACTCGCTCTCGACATTTGCCTAGGGCGCCACCACACTGTGTTGGCGGACCCTAAACCCTAAACTTTTAGTGGCTGCCGCCATATGCGCCAACACAGGTGTAAGGTTGCGTGTCGATTTTAATGTTGACTCGATCGATCAGTCGATCTAAGGTCGATAATGAGTTAGGCGGTCGATTAAATTGTTGACATTTTCACTCCATACACGTACATGTGAAACACGTGTGCTTGGCATGAAAGATGCCTTAATGCATGAGGGCTCAAGATGACAGCCTTTGGAAAGAGAGTTAAAAGTGCTTGAGAGCCGGGGTTGTGTTTTCATGGTAGCGGAGCACTGGATAACAGATCCGGTGCTGTGCCCTGCCTAAGCCATGGATACTGCAGTGCTACAGCAGTTGCTTCAAGCAGCTACAGAAGCCGCAAATGCAGCAGCGAGAGCGAGCGCCTCCACAGGGAATGTGAGCCAGATTGGCAAGTTGGTTAAGCAACCTACTGTTTTTGGATCGATTTCAGTTGAGACCGAGCACCGTGAATGGCGAGCATGGAAACTACGATTTACAAGTTGGCTTTCCTTGCAGAGCAAGCCTATGTATGACATGGTGGAAGCAGCTGAAGCGAATCCTAGTCATGAGCAGGCTATGGTTGACTTGGATGAAGAGCATACAGCAGTGGCTTTGCAGTTGCACAGTGTGTTGCTTGCATTTACACAAGGCAATGCTTTCAGGATTGTGGAAGATGTCCGAGATTGTTGTGGTGGTGAAGCTTTCAGGAGATTGTTGGTTGAGAATGAGCCGAAAACTACATCTCGTGCCGCAGCCTTGATGGAATGCATCATGGCATATCAGCCCACCAACAAAGACCTTTCTTTGAGGCAGAAAGTTGCAGAAATCGAAGAGCTTTTTGATGCGTACAAGAGTACCACTGGGAACGAGATTGACAACATCATGAAGGTTGCAGTTTTGACGAGGCTTTTGAAACCTGAGTTGAAACGCCATGTTCAGCTACAAATGACTGCAACAACCACATATACGCAGGCGCGTGACATGATCACTGACTATGACAGGGCAACAGCAACATGGGCAGTTGACACTGTTCGACCAACAGTTGCTAGCTCATCTTCAGGTGATGGTGTGGTTCCCATGGACGTTGACCAAGTGCGCATGGATTACAAAGGCAAGGGTAAAGGTGGTAAAGGAAAAGGCAAAGGTGCCAAAGGAAAGGATAAAGGCGGCAAGGACAAATCGAAAGGAAAAGGCAAGTTTGGCTCTAAGTCACAGCAGTACAGCAATGAGTACAAAGGAAAGGGCAAGGGCAAGCAGGAGCGTGGTAAAGGCGGTGGAAATGCATTGAAAACCTGTTTTGTGTGCAATAAGACAGGTCACATTGCAAAGGATTGCTGGAGCAGACAGTCGCAGGTGCGGTCCGTTGATGCTGTTGATGGATTAGCAACACAGCAGAGAACAGATGCAGAGAGCCAGCGATTTTCGAGCTCAGCAAGTATGAGCACTGGAACCACGAACCACATCAGACAAGTTTTGATGTATGACATGTCAACCCCGAGAGCACATGTTTCAGGACCGAGCCGGTTTAGAATTGACTCATATGACGAGGAGGAGTTTTCATCTCATGTGAATTTTGTGCAAGTGGTTCAAGCAGCAGTGGAAACCACACAACGATGCACTACAGCAGTGAAAGACATGCATGAAGCCAAACACTGTGACCATTTTGACATGAGTTGCAGTGACTTGGATTGCGACTGGGATTTCTCTCCATGGTTTGCATCCTTTTCTTGCATGCAGTGCAGTGATGACCATGTGCAGTATTGCAATGCGATTCAGCAGCCTGGCAGGGATGATCCTGGACCTGCAATCGATTCCACTATTGTGATCGATACAGGTGCAGATGTGAGCGTTGCACCCATGTGGTGTATGGGTATAGGAGATTTTTCTTCAGGAGGCATTGAATCAAAGTCTGAGCTTCGAGATGCTTCAGGGAATGTGATGGAAAATGCCGCGGTGAAGAAGCTGGTTATCAGGCTGGAGGACTCGTGTGGCAGAGTTTGCGAATTTGCAGATCAGTTTGTGATTTCATCTGTGAAACAGCCGATATTAGCTGTGGGAAAGTTGATCAAGCATGGTTGGACAGTCGGCCATGAGCAGCAGCGTGTGTGCTTGAAGAGCCCAGATTGTGATGTTTTCATTCCATTGAAATTCAGGCAGAATTCCTTGGAGGTTGATGGACATGTTCGAGCCTTGCAGGTTTTCCCAATTCAGGCACAGCACGATGAAGCGCAGGTTTCCAATCCTTCCTCATCTTCTTCGGCAGGACCAGCATCTGCAGAGGTGGGGATTTTTATTCAGCTTGGGAGTGCTTGGGATGACTTGCAGCCTGGTTGGAATGTTTTGCCGTTGGGAATGGTTGCAAACATTGTGGAGCGCACAGACAGCTTACTTGATCCATACCCTCCATGGAACAGCCGCTACTGGCCATTTCGGTCTTGCTTTGCTTCGATGAATGGCCGAGACTGGAAGGTGGTCAGATGGAATGAGAAGTGGGGTGAAGTTGAAAGTCCTGCAGAGATTTATACACAGGTGCCGAGGAAACTTTTGACCGTGGTTTATGAGCACCAACTTACCCTCGCTGAGTTGCATATGTCGCGCGATCAGATGGAGCAACAGGTACAGGCAGCAGAGAACATTCTTGTTTCAGGGTCGCATGAACTTGAACCTCAGATTGATGTGGAAGAGCCAGGTGGTGTGGAAATTGAGATTGACGCTGAGGTTTCTGGAGGAGAGCCTGATCTTCCTGGAGTTGAGGTCGTTGGAGTTCCAATCCATGCAGATCCCAATCGTGTGGTTGTGGATGGTAATGAGATTACACCAGAGACGCCATTGCGACAGATGCGAGCAGCAGCAAAATTCTTGAAGTTGCCTTCAGGTGGTTCTAAGATGCGAGTTTGGGCCAAGCTGGTGAACTACCAAGTTCATCAAGCAGCACATGCAGCTGAACTGGCAGCAGCTCTGGCAATGCAAGATGAGGGCATTGAGCCTGTGATGAAGGCCAGACCACGTGAGCCCACAGCCAAGGAGCGTGAGATCCATAATGTGACGCATCAGCCTTATGCCCCATGGTGTGAAGCTTGTGTGATTTCAAGAGGAGTCTCAGATCGGCATATTCAATTTGCAGAAAGCAGCGATGAGAGGGCAGATACCACTACAATCCAGTTGGACTTTATGTACACTGGGAAGGTGGATGATTACGATGATAAATCTGCAAATCATGCTGAAGAAGAAAACCGAGATGCGAAGGAGGATGCAGATTCTAAGAAGTGGCCGTGCTTGGTTGCAGCAGATAAGCACAGCCATGCGATTCTCTGTGTTCCTGCAGAACAGAAAGGTGGATCCTCACTTCCAAGACTTGTGAGGGAATTGTACAATTTCACTGTGCGAGTTGGTGGACAATCAGTTGTCTTGCAAGGAGACCAGGAGAACTCTGTGCAAGCAGTTGTGCGTGGTGTGGAGCAGCTAAGGTCCAAGAATCAGTTGCAGACGGTTGTGAGGTATGCTGAAAAAGGACAGCCAATGTCGAATGGTCGAGCCGAACGTGCAGTCAGGACCTTGAAAGAGATGTCTCGCACTCTTCGCCAACATGTTTTCTTGAAGTGTGGGTACAAGATTCTTCCGGGTCATAGTTTGCACCAGTGGAGTTATTTGCATGCAGCATTTCTCTACAATGCATTTGGTGTTCAGAGACAACAGCGAGCAACCCCAATGCAGCTTCTTGGTGAAGGCAGATACAAAGGTGCCCT